TAGTGTATAGTGAAATCTGTCTCATTAGTGAGTAGATTGCAGTTTTGATATAACAAAACTAAAGCTTGATTCAAAATAAAATGGTTCGCTTATAAACTTAATGCGTGGGACTTCAACTCTTGGGTTACCAACTTATGAATAGTTGGGTACAGTGATTAAGGACTAAGTATCGTATACAATATGTGACATTTATGAGGGTGTGTGTTATGGCAGATACACAACTCAGATTATGTTGGTAAATGGGAAGGGCAGAGGGTCTGTCAAATTTGCAATCACTTGTATGTGAATTGTTTTGATGTCAGTCGGCAGTGTGTTAGAGTGTTAAGACGATGGGAGCACAGGGAGAATCTCCATCCGTGAAACAGGAAAGAACACATGATGATCAACCAACTGACACTATACTGTCACACTCACGATGAATAACGCGAAGCTTGGAAGCGAAGCGAACAGTGCCTTACTACTATCATAACGAGAAGTACGGTTTTAGGCGCTAAGATTCAAGGTACACTAACAGTGTTTAACCATTTGTGTCCAGTCTACTTACATCGTTTGGCGATCGGTCGACTTCATTTATGTTGTTCACACCTACGATATAAAGGCAACAGATACTGTCGTATCACAGTCACTAGGTATATGCACCATTTTAAGAAATATATCGGACCCTTCACACAAGACAGTAGTGTCCTAAAGGTAAGGGTGATTTATATATTTCTGTACAGTTAGAAGTGTGGGTCACAACGGCCTGGCCACGATGTTTCCAGATCATTTATTACGGCATGTCTACCTATGTCGGGCAGACGAAATACAAGTGATTGCTTGATTCGGGAGTTATACAGCAGAATTCTTTAACTTCCAGCTTCATGAAGCTAGGAAATACAGTTCTAATTAGTTTTCAGACTTCTGAAATCAATTAACTTAATTTAATGGTGCTGGTTGTATTCTGAAAAATCGGTTTGTGTAAAATAATTGTCAGCAAGTTTCTTATCGCAAGGTATTTACTCCTCGCACAGAATCTTCAGGCAATATAATAAACGGCAACATGTCAATTGAAGAAATATTGTTCTATTCAAGGCATATTACAATAATCCATTTCAGTCAGAAACTTTGCAACAGTTGGAGCCTATTTAAAAGTATGCCCAAGTATAGGTTATAATTCTCAGATATAACTGTGCGGTCAAAACAATATGAAATGGGGGGAATGAGATGTATTTAGGTGGACAGAAATTTTAGGTAACCAACTGATTTCAGCAAAATATACCGTACGAAGCTAAATTTTGCAGAGTTTTTTTGAACCATTCGAAATATACCAACATAATTTCTAGAAAATTCAATAATATATGTAAACCTTTTGGACCCACTGACTCCTTTAATCTATTAAATTGTTCAGATATGAGTGTAAAGCAACATTTTCTGATAAAAGTGGAGCAAATGGATCTCAGTTCAAGAAGGTGACGCCATCGGTAATATGTATTACAGAAAAGATTTTCAGTGTAAAGTTTGATTTCAAAAACGGAAATATGTGACCTATCAGCAAGTCACCACAGCAATGGACTAGGACGCTACAACTGGCGGGGATATGCAGTGCAGTGACTCTGAAGATGGAGGGAATTACATCCCAACCACGAATATTCTAACAATATGGAGAAGCAGCTGATTTCTGTAATTTGGGAAGGTCAGATTACATGTAAGAAATCGTGTGTGTGTGTGTGGGGGGGGGAAAGTAGTGATAGTGGACCATCTCAAAGGTAGGACAATATAAATCAAGAGTAAAAAGAACAACGGATTTTAGAGGATTAATGTATTGACTTTTATGGATAGTACGAAGTATACTAACGCAAGATCTAATACCCACAACTATAGTATTCGTTCCGCGTAGACCAAAAGCAAAGCAAAACACCAGAATTGCCCGTCCGAATAAAGAGTTATATTTCGGGACCGAATTGGAGTGCCAGATGATTGCTTAACCAGCTGGGGATCGTGTGCGAACGAATGAATGTGACACGACGGCATACCAAATGGCGTGGATGCTTGACCGGAAGTCTTCAGCTAAACAAGTTGACTTAAACAGTGGGGGTAGGCATCCAATGTTCAGTGATGAGTGCTGTGGCCAATAATTCTGGGGAATTACCTACCGCTACGGGATGTTTTCGAGGTCCTCTTGTATTTCCGCTGGAGCAGCCTGCACACTGTGGCCATTATGTCTACAGTTAATAGGCGGCTCACACTTTTATTTGGCTTCAGTATTGTCTCAAGAAATGTTTGATGAAAAGTCATTGACATATCTCAAGTATATGTTGAGAAAGTGAATTCTAGAACACTGCTGGGGAAGAACGTAGTTAATCTGTCACTTGGGGTAAGTAGGGTCCATTGAGTTGAACTCTATGGGGAACGTTAATCCATTACAGAGAAGAGTAGATTTCAGTGTTGGCTAGGGAGACAAAGAACCAGAGGCGATTAAACCCATCGGGTATCCACTGTCGAATCCCGGGTCGCGGCTTAAGCATTTTCGGAATTCAAATTTTTTGATCACTTGATTATCAGCTGGTGGTAAAGCCAGTTGAAACTACCCAGAAATTGGACAAAGGGTTAATTAATGTTGTGACAAGTTGAGGTGAGGTCTGCTACAGCTGTGTGCGTTGGTAGCATAGTGGTTAGGACTCTCGCCGACCATGCACATGGGCCGGGGTTCGATCCCCTGCCGACGCACACACGATATCTATGGTCGGCCTGCAAAATTTGGGGTACTGATATCACATGCTGAAAATTTCATACTTGTACCAAAAATACTGTGTGGTTTCAAGCTCTAATCAAAAAAATTTAGATGGTGTGCTGGATTAAGCCTAAAAATGGCTAGGGTGGGTTGCGCGAAGGGGTTAGCAGGGTTGGAGGAAATGTAGATATAGAAAGATGGATGGCAAGAATAATAGTTATGCCTGAAGAACTCAGCACCTTAAAGTCGCAAGTTTCTTGTTTACGCTACTCTAAAAGACACAAATTAGACGAGTAAAATCTTGGTGGTATGAAATTATTTGGCTACCTGGACCACATCGAGTTGGTAGCCTATGAACTCTGACGTCCCCTGTCTCAGATCCCTTTGACCTGTCATGAGTGGCAAACAGCCACTCATATAACCAGCAGACGTGTGGCCAAAGGCGTGTTGACGTAGGATGCTGCTTTTGTAGATATCATGGTTCTTGTGTCCGGAGACTGCCTACTACCATTGTAATTTTCAGAAAATTGGCATAACTTCACAAATACTGCCAGTATATGTCTTGCTTCATCATTCGACTGTGACAACTTTGTCAGTTTTGTACGGAGCACAATATGGGTCGTCATATGCTGGCTGGGGCGGTCCCTGTACACTATCCGTTCCGATGAATGTGTAGCTACACTATGCCATATGACCGGAAATCGGACACCATCTGTTTTTGTGGTCACATTTCTAACTCATGCATATCTCTAGTGAATAACCACGTATACCAAAACCACATGGAGGTCGATTATCTGGAGGAAACGTTTGAAAACAATGCTGTGCCACGGATTAATTCGAAGATCCATAATCTGATGTCATAAAATGGCAGGTATTATGTTTAACAGTATCAGTAGAAGCTTGGTGATCAACAATACTGGAAAAGTGTACCTTGAATTGTTCGATTACGCCATCCGGTTAATCAAACTGATATTTGTGTACTTAATTTTCAATACTCAAGTAGGCTGATGAGGCAGTTAACTTACGAACTGTGCTTCATACACAGGAATATGAGTTCACTGCAGAGGAACGTGATTAAAGGAACGGGCACATTCTTAACTCCAAAAGTAACTCGGATGGGTTCACACAAAACAAATACACTGCTGATGGCTATTTCTGGATACCACTGACAGAAAGATTCGAAGAATTAGTTTTAAGATAGGTAACTGCCCGATTCAGAATATGTTAGGAGGAAGAGATGGATTGTGGGCTGTTTTTACGTTTAAAGGTGAGTATCCCCAATGCTTAATATCAGGAGACTTTGGGGGAAAGTGGGCCTTTAAGCCCCGTTACTAGTCCAGTAAAGCCTTTGGAATACTTTGCGCTAATCTATATTTGACAGGGATACAAAACTTGGCGATGGTTCCATAGAAGACATAATGAAAATTTCACAAAAGCGGTCAATAAATTTAACCTTAAAACATTCATAGGTCTCATTATTGTAAGTCCTTCTTTTGCACTTGTGACAGAATTTCCAGATATCAGCTTCACGTGCTGAGGTTTCCCCACCATTTCTGGAGGATTAACTTACGGAAAATCTGCACTTATATGAAGGGCATATTTTATATTGTGCTTGGCGCAGCAGCAAAGTGTATGAAATACCAAGTTTACCCCTCCAAAGTTCTTCTGTTTACAGTGAATCAATATCTGGCGGCAAATAATCATCAAAATTATTAGTCTACAATACTCATCGCCCATTACTGGGTTTTTCCCATCAGTGGTTGAGTCAAATCGTTAAGCTCAGAGTTTGCAGTCAAGCGTACATGCCACCTGATACATAGTTGTGTTACGCTGGTTCGTGCCCGATCACTAGTTGGTCAAGCATTCAACATCACATTAAGATTTTGGCCCCAGAATATATTTCGTATATTGGACCATCAACTCGATGTTCTGACTTGTCTTTGTCTTAACAGAACTAGTCCTTTAGGAGTTGGAGGTGGACCAAGTACTTGCGTCGGTATACATCGTATTCTGAGTAAACGTCAACAGCCCTTCTCTACTGAAGGTACTGAAACCTGAAGTGACATGCTTGTGGGCACTTGATGATTTCGGGGTATAAACTAATTGAATTATTTAATTTTACCTGATTTACACGTGCCTGCAATCAATTTCTTATCATGCTGCACAAGATAAATTATTTTGTATTCTGAATGTAGTCATCGATGGCCGAACTAAGAGCACTATTTAACTTTGAGTTAATTTGCAATCAGACAGAAGAAAAAGCTGTAAAAACGCCATAAAACTATGTGAGGCGTGTAAAATACGTTGACGATAACACTTTCTGATTGTTATTTAATTACTTGGACATTGGAGGCTTGAAAGCTATCACAAGAGCAAAATTGGAAAGGTTCGTTACAACGTGTTGTGGTGGGTTCCTCTGATTTGTATAAACAGAAAAGTAGATCACGTTAATTTGCTAAGCCTTACCTGAAAAATTACATGCAGGAAATACATGTGACATTTAATTGGCAAATTAATGACCATTTCAGCATACAGCATAGTTTGAAATGAATTTCAGCAAATATAATAAGGCCTTTGGTGACTATTAACTGTAACAGCCCGAAAGGAAACTACCTAGTAAACATATTGATGACCATGACGAATTTATTTATGGAAATTGGTTTAGCCTGACTGTGAGGACTGCTGTGAGAAATTAAGAGGTTTTCTTGGAACATATACAAGAATATTATCAGAAATAAACATTTTTTAAACATTACATTACTTGTATATAGACGTTTATTCCGAATTACGCACTTCTACTGAGGCATTTGGTTGGTCGCTAGAGGTAGTTTCGTTTTGGGCTGTTATAGTTTAGAGCCACCCAAGCTTACAACAATTCTAAACTTATTCTAACCTATTCTTCGATAATGCCTTTTTATGGTAAATGAATATTTTATCTACACACTATGTTCTGAAATGACGCTGGTCGTGCTTAAAAAGAGAGCTGGGTGCTGAATTAAGTCTTTTCGTTCTGAAGTAACGCTAGTCCGCGCTGAATATGTCCTGTGAGGGCTGAAACAACGCTGATAAGCAAACGCAGTAGGTTCTGATCTACTCCTGAGAATGCCTAGAAAAAGAACACGGTGCTGAATTAGTGCCAGTCATGCTGAAAACCAGCACTGAGTTCTAGTCTGTGCCATTAAAGAATCCATTTCAGAACAGATTCAGAAGTTACTCACTATAGAACGTGAGAATTATTTCAGAATTAGTGAGATTTAATTTAGCATTATGGTAAGCTTGGGCACCAGGACATTTGCCTAGTAATAAGGTCCAGTTAATATTTCTCCTGAGAAATTTTCCTTCCAATTAAATGTTTTCCTCATACCCAACCGGTTTCTGTGAACTCGCTTATTTTCTGTGGTTGTGAGTACCCTACATATCATCTGGTAGATACCGCAAACAATGCTTGAAAAGAAGTCCTTGATATTAGCTTTTCAACTCAGCCCTGAGGTTTAAGCGCACGCCCAGCAGAAAATGTTGGTATGGTGAACATTTTCAAAAACAATTTGGATCTATATATTTATGTACCTAAATCGTGAATGTTAATAATTAGGTCCACGAACATGCATTCAGTCGTCGAAAAACACTTCATGCCTCATTAGATATCCTAATAAAATGTACACCTCTTTTAACACAGACCATTCTTTACTAACTGGTTTCAACGTAAGACTTTGCACAGATGTGCAGCAGTTCGAGTTGCCACACTCCATGTAGCACACAAAGCGAGACGATATTAAAGGGAAATTTCAAAAGACGGATAATAAACAGAAGTGTGAGAGAGAAAGAAGAGTAATATAGAAAACACCAAATTTTTATAGGATATGACAAATCAAAATGAGTGAATGAATATGCGCCATTGAGAACGATTTTGAGCCATATCACAAATTGTCTCCCACCATTCATTCCCAGATTCCTGAGGAATACAAGCAGATAGTCTATACCTCCCCACGTGGCTTAAACTAACTGTTATGGATTTCATTTACTGATGAAGCTGTTTTGGTTTGAACACTACGAGCTCTTTTCCAACCTTTTCTATCCTATGTCGAGGAAGGCGATGCCTAGGGATCCATACGTAACACATGTCCTAACCATCTCAAATGGTGTAACGTCACAACTGGTCTCTTAATTTCCCTTCCTTACCTGTCACTGAAGTCAGTTACGGTTAAGTCCATTAATACATCTATGATGAAATTAAAGAGAAATGGAGACAGTGGACATCCCTGACGGACACCTCTCGTTGTCATCACAGTTGTTAGATGACAACTCTCCGTAGACTCTCACCTGGTTGACTGCATGAGTTCTAGTAGAGAGAGTGCCTTGATCAGTGAGGTTTATCTTCTCGGGATTCCCTACACAGCCAAACATCGCCATAGTACCTGTTGGTTGGCGGAATGCAATGTCGCTTTCAGGTCAAGAAATATGACGATTGTTTGTTGACGCTGGAGTTCCAGAATCTGTCGAAGGGTGAAGATATGATGGATACACCGTCTTCCTGGTCTAAAGCCTGCGTGGTTCTCTCGTGTATGTTCCTCCTGAGTACCGCTTAGTGTACGCATGATGATTATTGAGCCTAGAAGTTTAGATGGCATATTGGTCAAGCTAATCCCCCCCTACGATTATCACAGGGAGACTTGTCTCCCTTCTTGTATACTGCGATAATCAATGGCTTACACTAGCCTGACGGGACTTCCTCTGATTCTCGGGTGCTGCCTAATACCTTAGTTAACGCAGACAGTAAATTGTCTCCACCGTACTTAAATACCTCTGGAGTCATTCCATCAGGTCCTGCCGCTTTACATCGTTTCAGACTAGTGACAGCCTTAGTAACCTCAGTTATGGAAGGAGGATGTGTTTGTTTGTATTCCATTCAGGGAGGTGTCGAATGCTGGGTAGGTTGAGCGTGGCAGTAGGCCAGTAAAACTGCTCCTCAAAGTGTTCTTTCCAACGTTCCAGTCGTCTGTCTTGAGAGCTAATTATAGTGCCATTTTTCTCAGAGATTGTTTCACTTATCAATTGCTTTTTGCCACCTGTTTTCACGATGTCTAAATAGTTGTTTGGTGTTACCTATCACCGACGACTTTTCCATCCCTTTCGCTTTTGTTGCCCACCGCCGTTGTGGCGGAAACTTCTTGTTAGTTTGTTTTTGAGTAGCTTTCGCTCCTCATCATATTCGGAGATCGCTGAAATCAGTCGTTTTGCATTGACCAGTTCAAATGAAGTAGTGGAAATCGGCTGGCTCTTACTAACTTTTGGTTTTAGTTTATTAACAGCCTGTACAGCTGTGTCTACAGTTAACTGTGTGTTGCTCCAGGTTTCCTCAGGAGGAGTCCTGCTGTCGACCTCAGATACTCATTTCTCTGTTTCTTCCTTAAGTAGGGGCTCAGTGTCTTGATCTAATTAGAGGCGTAATTGCTTTGTTGCCAAAAGTTTTTTTATGTCCGTCTAGTCGTAAGCATAAACGTGTGTGAACCAGGGCATGATCGGAGTCTACGTTTTCCAGAAGGAGCGGCAGTCGTCTACTGGTCCTCGCCAACGATACCCTACAACTATGTGGTCTGTTTGAGTCCAACGTTGATTTATTGACGGAGGTCGCCAGGTTAGGCAATGTCTCTCTTTGTGCTCAAAGTTAGTTCTGACTAGGAACAAATGATTGTCTGAACAGAACTGTAGAAGACGATGACCGTTGTCGGTTCATCGTCAGGGAACTCCTTACATACCACCAATATACTTGTCGGTCTGGCATAACTTCCATACTTAGCCGTTGAAGTCACCTGCTAAAACAACTATATCCGGGCGTTTTGCTTTTTGCAGCGAACTAGACAGTTTCTGGTAGAAATCATTCTCTAGTTCATCCGAACTGCAGTCTGTTGGGACTTAAGTGGAGACTATGAAAAGACAACCATGGGTAACGTCATCCTTCCTTCTTCTAACGGACCCGTTCAGACGGACCGCACATATACTACACTACTGGGATCCAGTCAAAAAGTGATTTTTCTACCCTAACACTCAATGCTATCCGTACACCTGTGGGTCCTCGCGAACTAGCTGAGGAGTCTCCTGACACCCTTTAGGTGAATTCTGCAGATTCACCTTGTTGGTCGGGTGTGGTTAAGTGAATAACCACTCTCGGGTCTTGTATGCGTGTCTCCGAAACACAACATATATCTATGGCTCGAGATAGCAAAGTTCTAGCTAGTGAAACCTGTAGTTCGACGTTATGTGCTACAATATAAAGGTGGCGGCGTGGCTTGAAGAAGTCATCGGAGGTGTTTTTCTGGCTCTTATCACTAGCCTGCAAAATAGTACTGAAATTAGTAGGGAAGCAAGATGATGAGGGTGATAAAGATGGCTTCGTGTGCTTTTGGAAGTATGTGGGCGGTTATTACTTCCCGGCTGCTCACACCGTGGAAGTTAGACCATTCCTAAGTTTATAGGCAGATTATGCTGCTAACTGAATTTTTAAATTTTATTTTGGATTGATGACCTAGGTGCGGTACTCTACATTTTGTTACTCGTGAAGACATTTATTTGTCCATAAAAGGGACAACATTGGGATTCTGACTTACATTAATTCCTAGGTAGCTTATTTCCTGAGTGTCATATAGCGTGTTTTTCTTACGTCTTTCTAAAGTGTAAACTTGGATTCATTGAAGTCATTTGGTTATTTTTTCAAATTCGGTCTTAGGTACAGATCTATTTCCTTCCTAAACTACCGACTCTGGTGTAAAAAGCTGCAATCACTATCGTCTTTGATTAATCCAATAAGGGGAAAGGAGAATTTCCAAAATAGTTTTCTAAAATATCTGTATTTTTATTCTACTTTTCTATGGATAATCCCGGATTCATTGTTGAATGTAGCGGGCTTCATTGGTGGTCCTTTACAGAAACTCTATGGAGACATTTGTAAAATAAGTAAACGACCCAATACTAGTTCTCTTTCTAACCAGAAACTACTGAAATATGATGGTTTGGTCGGGTCCACATGACATTTTTTTTACAATCTTAAGTGTGTGCATGAGATTTATTAAACAACCCCTTTATCAACAGCGCCATGCTGCAGTGACAAGCCACAGTGTAGTTCATCGAAATCGAACAAACAAGTTGAACTACACTAGATGAACTTGAAACCATTATTGTTACTTTTTTAGACGAAATTCACGTACTATGGGCATATCAAGAGACACTCCACAGTACTGTATATTACCGAAAAATTGTAAAATACACGAGTTCAGTAATAATGGAGTATATTAGATTAAAGATGAAACAGTATTTTGTGAATAAGAGTAAACATCGACGTATATGTAAAGTTTCTCTGTGAATATCAAACTGCAGGTGATAATATTTCAGCTCAACAATAAAGGAAAGATGATCAAATTGAAGTAGTGCATGTAAACTTTATTACTATTGGACAGTATAAATTAGGATTGCATACGTCGTTATTCAATAGCCGTTTCACTTACATGAAGTTGGTAATTAAGCCACACATACTGTGTAACAGCTAGTAATGTTATATAGACAGGTGTCCAGCCGTCGGTAGATGCGGCGGAGTCTACACCTGTGACCTAGTGTTTAAAAGTCGAATGCCTCACCATGTTAATCACAGGATTTTTATCCAGTCTTATAAGCATTTTTGTATTGAGTCTGAGGATGAGATTGGAATTCTGTTCGATAATTGTTTACACTAAATATGAGTAAAAAAATCTATGGTCTATGATAAAGAAAATGTTTCTGTCTATATTTTCCGTGTTTGTGATTTAGAGAGAGATGTTGCTGTTCATATTGTGATAGTGTTTGGCATGCGATTCGCTCCCGCCAAATGTAAGATAATGTTACAGGACTGGACTGCACTGACTCCTAGTTAAGAAATAGGGAATGAAGTGGTAGAGCACGTTGACCGCTTCACTTATTTAGGAAGTACCATCAGCCCCAACGGGTTGATCTCTTACGAAATCTCAGTACGAATACAGAGGGCTAGTTTCGCATTTGCCAGTTTACGCCGTTTCTGACATAGACGTGATAGCCGGCTATCAGCAGTTCGTTCCGCCCTCCTTTATGGCTGTGAGACCTGACCATTGAGAGTGGGAGACATGAAAAGATTAGCTATCTTGGATCATAGGTGCCTGCGTTCTATCTCCCGTGTGAAGTGATATACTAAGCTGAGCAATATTGAGGTTAGGCGTCGAGTGCTACGTAAGGTGGGGAATTCAGTCGACGAGGCTGTGAAGCTACACCGATTAAGGTAGTTAGGACATGTGTTACGTATGCCTAGTCATCGTCTTCCTCCACAGGCAATTTTAGGTGACATAAGGTCAGACTGGAAAAGAGCTAGCGGAGGTCAAACCAAAACATGGCACCAGTCAATAAAATCCATAACAGTTAGTTTATGCGATCCAGACACTTAGGAAGGTGTAGACTTCCTGTTTGGGGTCCTCGGGACAGTAAAAGCCAATAGCTGGAAACAATTGGTGATATGGCTCAAAATCGTTCTCAATGGCGCAGATGCATCCACTCTTTTTGACTTATGATTTCCAATGAAACTATATTGTCCTTCGTCATTACTATTCCTCTGTCTCACACCTCTGTTTACTGTCTCTATTATGCATTTCTCCTACTTTCTTCTCTTGCTTTGTGTGCTACATGGAGTGTGGCGACTTGAACTGCTGTATATCGGTGCAAAGTCCTATGTCGAAAACAGACAGACATTGTAATAGTGTATACAAGTGTCGTTTCTTTTTTCTTCTCATTTTTAGATTACCGTTGCGCTTGACTACCGGTGTACTTGTTTATATTTTATTGCTGCAGAAAATCTGCCGGTTCTGGACACTACTAAATACTACATCCAAGTGTTTCACTCAGAGTTTCTTCACACCTGCGGTTAGTAGAAATACTAACTCAACAAGAGGTCCCTCATTTGAGAAAAACGCCGGAATATCCACTCTCAGATTCCCATTGCATTAAAGTGTTTCCTCTTTTTTTCCTGTCTGTACAACATGGGTTTAATCACTTCACGGAGTCAACAAACCAGTCAACAGGATACAGTGAAAATCAGTGAATGTCCGGTTGGCAAAGGCAGTCAAGGATGTCCCATGAATCATGGTACTAAAGACTTTAATATGGACAATATGGTAAGTATGACTTCATTTATCAGATCAAGTGTTTGTCAAAGACTTTTAAAGGAACATGTTCACTGGGTATTGCTTCTCCAATATGCTGACTAATTGGCCTATAGCCAAACAGGTACACTGAAAAGAAAAGTGAGATTTATCAAACAATGCATGAACATGCGGTAAAAAAGATTTATTGGGAGATAAAGCAAGTGTGCGGAAATTCAGGTTGAATATGACTGACAGATGCCACCTTGATGTGGAGGTCCAGCTTGCATTTTGTAATGACCGAACAAGCGGTACTGACTGAAGGTCAGTTGGATAGCTGTAGGTGCCATAAATTGACCGGAAAGTGGTGGGAACCTAGAGATGATGTCGTAGTTTTCCAAATAGGGTGTGACGACAGTTAAACCCTTTCTTCTTATATGGGAAAAATGCCATCACCTATAGCACTCTCCCATTATGACGTGTGTTAATGCATGCAGTGCAATTGGTCACCTTTTTTTTCTAAATTACTTATTTTTGTGCATTCAGCCATTCTTACCTCAGCTAAATTCTTATGTTCCGACAATCTGACTACCCCCGACCTACTAGTTTTACCTATGTAGTTGACCTAACTCACAGTCATTGCAGGATATTTGTAAATTATATTATTTTGTTTAATTGCGTCAACCCACAGGGTCCCTTACCCTACCTACAGAGCTTGTCTCTGAGTGAGTTTGTAGGTTTGAATGCCACCGTAATTCCTGCTTTGTTGAGAATCCTACGTATGGGGTCTTGGATGTCCCCTCATTATATGGTATAACCGTAGATGCCTTGTATTCTTTCTTATTTATGTTTTCATTATTAGTTTCCTCATTATTTTTATTTTGCTTTTGACCGTTTTTGATCTTCCTAGTGAATTTTATAGGATAGTTATTTGATACCAACGCTTCTTCTTCTATCTCTTTAGTTTCATCACTTAGGTCTTTTCTTATACTACTTAGTGCTACTACTGTTGTCTATCCAAATTTCTTCCGAACACACCGGTTTGGCTTCTTCAGTTGGATCCCGATAGCTTCAGCTGTATGTAGAAAATGAATTCGTAAAGAAAAATTAGGATCAGTTGGAATTCGATAAATAACTTTTATGCTCACTGTCTATAGGGTGTGCTAAAACGGAGCTACGAATGGTTCTTGTTTGTCCCTTCCTTGACCATACAAGATGTTTTGATGTTTTTGAGAAATAGGATGATGAACCTGCCTAATTGCACGCCCGATGTGACTGGCTCTGCAGTTGCAATCAAATTGGTAGGCACACACAGAGGAGGATGAGGAGGAGGCCAAATTAGGTAGTTTGTCTTTGTGTTTCGAACGTAAAATCAGAGTCGTGGTGAAGAAGACAACGTACCTCATCTGCAGTGAATTCTCTTTTACCTGCATTCTTCAGGCGTTGTGTCACTATTTCGGTGATTTTATCACCGGAAGAGGTTGGATTCAGGAGAAACAAGTCATGCATTGATCAGTTCGCTGCATTACGGATCATCATTGAACAAAGCTTGGAATGGCAGTCACCTCTTTATCTCAACTTCATCGACTTTGAAAAGGCCTTCGACAGCGTCCATCGATCGAGAGGTGATTTGGCAACTACTTCGCTACTACGGGGTGCAACCGACAATTATACATCTCATCCAACAGCTGTACGACAATGCTGCATGTCAAGTAATCCACAACGGGAAACTTACGGAATCCTTCGAAGTGAAGACAGGAGTAAGACAAGGCTGCCTACTATCGCCAATGATTTTCCTGATTGCAGTAGATTGGATAATGTGACAGACATTGGGCAATGAGGAAACAGGCATAAAATGGACTCACACAAAAAACTTGGAGGATCTGAACTTCTCCGATGATATATGTCTGATTTCCCACAAACTGGAAGATATGCAAGTGAAAAGCAACAAGTTGGCAGAAGAAGCATCAAAGATAGGACTTCAGGTGAACATAGAGAAAACAGAGGTGATGAAGATTCCTGGACAAGAACAACAACAGGCAACGATCAGCATAAATGGAAGGAACCTGAAAGAAACAACTTCCTTTACTTACCTGGGAAGCATCGTTTCAACTACAGGCGGAACTGATGAGGATATCAAAGCAACTCCAATGTGAAGTCAGTCAGTGCTACTATACAGATCAGAGACTTACACTGCGCGTCATGAAGAGCATCTCAAACAAACTATAGACCTTCATCAACAGTTGTCTTCGCTCAATACTCAAGATCAGATGGCCAGAAAAGACCAGCAACAGGGATCTCTGGCAATGAACAAACCAACCAGGAGCCGAGTGTGAAACAAATAGGCAGGAAGAAATGGAGATGGATTGGCCATACCCTGAGGAAACCATCAAGTGACATCACTAGACAAGCCATTGCTCGAGTGGAACCCGAAAGGGAAGCGGCGAGTTGGTCGTCAGTGTGAGGGTGGGTGACTTGGAGGAGGTCATGTGAAGAGGAGATGTAAGCGTGTGGGCAGACTTGGAGCCAGGTGAAGACTCTAGCAGAGAACCGAACGCAATGGAGACACATAGCTGAAGCCCTGTGTTCCTCTAGGTATTAAAGGAAACAATAATAATAATATCACCGTAAGACTACAGTTTTATGAACAATAGCCTTTTTGAAGCTGTTGTCAGTTATCAGTTAGTTTCTTATGTGTGTTCTAAAGCTTGACATTGAGTGGAAATACTCAAGTGTGATAATATTGATGTAGATGATTATGAGTCACAAATTGATTAGACGTATGAATGAATAAATGAAGATCGACACAGTGTTCAATAGACGTGTGTGAACGAGATGATAGGAAAATAAAGTACCCTCGGAAATGTGAATATAATCTGATGGAGACCATAAGATCAGCAAAATATTGTCAAAATAGTAGACTAAATAAAATGTTAGAATAATGATAACATAAAGTGAAATGAAACATGAAACAAAACTTGAACGTGCAATAATGGAGTTTTTGTTAATCACGTGATAAAGCCAAAACTATGGTAACGAAAGATATCGCACAGATTGTTTTTGTACACAGGGTTCTGGGTTTATGTTATGTATCGTCAAAGCTTTGGCTGCAATGGAAAGCAAATGCACTTGTGTCCCTTTCGGCAAACTTTGTCGACTATATTAAAGGGATGTATTAGATGCTTTGTGGGTAGTAACTGCTATATGTTGCAGTATGGATGAATTAATACCATTATAACCGTCTTTGCTTAGCCAAGCTGAGAGATGCTTCTGAACGCGGCGGGATATGTTTCTCCACGAACGTTCTGTGCACCTGGCTCCCCAAAAGCCGGTGAACACATAAATACACATGAACTTAGATAATTGAGATAACATTTGTTAAACACTAAGATGGATGACTAGAGTAGGTTATTCGTCGAGTTAGCAGCAAAGAACATTTTTCTCAATGTTCTTGCCAACCGACACTCTCAGTGTCATCTAAGTTTAGATGTTACATCACTTTCTTAGCCACCTAACCCTCTCTGTATTTCTTCCACATATTCACATACACACCTACTGACATCCAACGGTAACTGCACTTCAAAGACTGATAAAAGAACAGGGATGGTGGTTTCCATTGTTATTGGGTTGATACAACCATCTAATGCGGACGTCTTTCTCATCGGAAAGTAGTTTTGTGTAGATGACGTATTTCCCGATAATAGGCCATCTGCATTAGATGAAATATTTATTTATTTAAACGCAGAAAAAAACTTGGTACACTATGGCACCAAGAAAGATGCGCCACACAATAATAATAAAACAACATAGGTCAAATGTAAAAAATATAAGTAGAGAACGAGTAAAGAACTTCATCTGGAAGGAAAACAGTCATACTTAGCAAGTTCAAACAGTATCCTTAACTATCATCAGTAAGGGAAGAAAGAAGGAAATTGCAACACTTTCGCTATTGATTACGATTCTTGGCCATATCCGATAACGTTTCGAGCTATCTCGCGGGACCCAACCAGGGAGTCGTGACTCACTAACCGATGCTAATCTAGCACAAAGACCCTTCATCCCACGACGCCATGTCATAGACTGACCACCCCTCCGCCTTTTCCATCCCGTCCCAGGGCTAGCGAACAGAGACCTGTAAGGAAGCCTCTGGGATGACATTCGCAGCACATGTCCAAGCCACCGGAGCCGGTGTTTCCAGATGACGACACTCAATGAATGGTGATCTCCACTGTGTTCAAACACACGCCGCTGAACTTCAGAATTACTCACGCGATGATGCCATCGAAAGCAAGCAATCCTGCGGAAACAGCGATGATCGAACACGCAGAGCCGCCGCACATCCTCAGCTTGGAGAGGCCAGGTTATTTGATGATGCTACACACACATGCCAAGCCTACTACAACTTTTTGTGACCAGCAATTATGATCAAAGCAGCATCATTACTAAATGGTAACATAAGCCGATGAAGTTATTCACCGTAGATGTTAGGGAAGTATGCAAGTGTAGATTGCCACAGTAAATTTCACAGGATACCAAAAATTAACAATGACAAGTTTAAAAGTTGTTCACAACGATAGACACATACTTTTTGAACATCTTCTATCCTTGTGTGTTCTGCCATAGGATAACCTGAACTGATGTAATTCCGTGCAAAGTTGATCCGTCAGTTTAGATGCTTTTTCAGCCGCTGAGTTAATTGACTGAATACAGAAGTGTATTTGGTTACAGGATTTCATCATGAGCTGACATTGGTTAGAGAACCATTGGAAAACCTGGGAGTACTGGACAGCTGTTTCGTCCTAGTTTGGGACTCTTCATCAGTACGTACCCAGCGGGGTTCGAACCCACGGCCTTCTGGTTACAAGGCGAGCTCGTATACCATTAAGCCACTGGGACCCGATCCAACGTACTTACACTAGGTGGTAAGTAACTGGTGTCCTACGTTTAGTCCTTTGTTCGGTGCAAACTGAATTCCTCCAGTCAAATTTGCAGTGTTTGGCCACCATTCCAGTTGGGTCACCATCACAGTGCACTTTGGATTGTTATTCTCAGATGGTTGGAAGCAGTGGACAGGAAGCCTTGGACCTAGGCTCACTCACCAGTCAGCAAGGAACTCGTGTCCCCTCTGAGATTCGAACACGCGTCACCCAGTGAGTGCTGCAGTCAGAGATGTTACCACTGGCCTATTCCGACTTGCAATTGACCTCCTGTACGACTGTAATGGATACTTGGGTTGAATACTAAGTACCAGGTGACTATCGTCTAGTCCGTTGTTTGGTGCAGACTGAATTCTACTAGTCAAGGTTACAATGTAGTGACAAGTGCCACTAAGCACACAACCTAGATCCAAGGCTTCCCGCTGACTGTCTCCAACTGTCTAAAAACAGAAAAGTACTAGTTATTCAATCACAAAATTGATGGTTCTACATCTGATGAAAATGACGTATAATTCAGCAAAGTATGCCTCAGAGGTATTTCTATTGTTTCCCTTCTTTCTTCTGCAAAATGTTACATCTTCTTATTACTATTAGATGCCTCCTCCGAATCAAATACCAAGTCCTGGACAGCCTTTTCAACTATCCACTGATCGTGAAGTATCTTCTATCCCTAAAGCAGATGATTCAGATGGCGGGAAATGGGTCTATCCATCAGCTCAAATGTTTTGGAATGCAATGCTGCGTAAAGGTTGGCGTTGGCGAGATGAAGATATTAAACCTGAAGATATGAATAATATTATACGCATACATAATGTAAACAATGAAATAGCCTGGCGCGAAGTTCTGAAATGGGAAGCTTTACACGCCCAGTAAGTGTGTATGCATTGTGGAATTTGCCTGCAGTTTGAATAATCCCCCCATATAAGTCGACTTATACTGATAAGTAAAAATAGTAATAAATCTCATGAATAACGCCTATTCGGGCATTAATGAAGACAAAACACGTAGTTCAGCGTAGAGGTTCTTTTCGGCAAATTCATTTCCTCTGAATAGTTCTCTTTTGTATGCAGAGCTCCGATTTCTCTGTCCGAATGGCTAGAGATTCATAGGTGCAGAGGAGACGAAAGGGTATTGCTTTTGGCAGGTTGTTCTTCACTTTGTAGATTACTTCGAAGGAAGTGTTTGTTGACATGGAATAACCAGTATTGGCAAAGTGTTCGATTATCTCACTCCATACAGAGTCACTACTACGTTTTTGTGCAAGCATGTGGGATAGTATTTTTAAACCCTTTGAGGCAGGATACGCGTCGAAGGACCAGAATATTTGGCCTCACAAGTATCGGAGAACTGATAAATATGTACATAGAAGTGGTCAGATGCGAGATCTTATCCTTAGGACTTCTTCAGACCAGTGGACAACTGGAGAACACTACTCTTATCGTTGGTGCAAAGCATTTTCCCCTCAGATATGTTAAAATTTTCCTCTTAAGCATATCGGAGGTTGTTTCCGTCGAAATCGAGGTTCATGTAAAGTTTCATTTTTGGAACAAGTAGTTTTTCGTTCATCTGAACTTTTGGTTTAATATTCTTGTCGATGAATGTTGTTTGATATCCATTCGGGATGAAAGTTTCTTTTAGAAGATCTAGTTCTGCTTCTATGGTGTTAGGCCTACAGATGCGTCGGATCCGAGTAGGTTTCTAGAGTTTGGTGCCTGTTGTGAATATAAACGCAATTTAATTAAATCCCTTGCCACTAAGATGTGTGGTTTTTTAGGGGTTGTCTCGGTGGTTCATTGGTAGTGCATGCTTAACCAACCACACACGTGATCCGAGTTCGACACCCGTTGAACGTACTCCTGATAACCCCACCTAGTTTACTAGCCAACAGTCATCCTAGAGAAAGTGGAAAGATTGAGTGTGAAGCTGCTAGCAATCCCCCTCCCTCCTAACACCGAATAATTCTATAACTTCAAAGTTAGAAATCTTATATTCTATTGGGGACTCAAGGATTAACAAAAAACACCCTTTGTGCCAGACTACACTATAGTTTGTGTTCTGGAACTAAAGATATTCTTTTTTTTCAACGCTCACAGAGACTTCCTATTATCTCACTGTGTTAGTCTATAGCTGATTTCCTAATGAAATCAACTTGTAGATCACTTGATAGAACATCCAACTGTGTCTTCCTTACCTCAATCAGTGTTTGTGTGTGTGTAATGTGGATTTCATGTCTTCTAGCCTTCATTATTATTTCTGTTGTTGTTTTTTTTGGTTTCTCTTCCTTTAACTAGTGAATGTATGACACCGAAATTGCGCAGATTTGCTGGAGACGCAAAGAATTATTCACCTAGAGCTCGAATCAGACATGCTATGGGGTATGTGATTTTTGTGAAATAGTTTCTTTTTTCTTTTTGTATGCTGGGCAAAGAGCGATAACGTACCTCACAGAAAATGAGGACGCTGATGCAAGCCAAGTTATTAGATCAGATAAATTAAGTGAAGTAACACTTGCACACACACACACACTGAGTTTATGAATCTGTAGGTTCGACAGCAGGTCAGGAGGATGGCAGTAGTGGCTGGCTTTACCTGTTTCTTTCGCACACAGAGCTCCGGTTGATTTAAACGAATTTCAATGGTCTCCCTTGTTTGAAGTGTTCGGTATCACCAAGCCTTTGGTAATTTATTCAACACCCAAAAGATGATATAGAAAGACTCTTTAATGGTAGACAGCCTTTTGGTCTGTTTGTATGAGGTGGTCCTATATACATATGTTAACGTTTTTGACAACAGCTTTATTTAACCATACTGGTGTAGGTGTTCCCGCGAACGAAAAATTAAGCTCTTAGAGCTATAGCCAATATAACTGGCTACAAAGGAGCAGATGAATTGATAGATGCAAATTGAGGTGGCCAAACTGGCTAATGCATTTCATGAACACTTGAAATGCTCGACTAAGTTCGAAACAAGCTATAGTTGTTATTATTTATTATTTCCTTTAATTCTTAGAAGAACATAGGGCTTCAGCCGCACGTCTCCATTGCGTTCGGTTCTCTGCTAGAGTCTTCACCTGGCTCCATGTCTGCCCACACGCTTACATCTCCTCTTCACATGACCTCCTCCAAGTCACCCACCCTCACACTGACGACCAACTCGCCGCTTCCCTTTCGGGTTCCACTCGAGCAATGGCTTGTCTAGTGATGTCACTTGCTGGTTTCCTCAGAGTGTGGCCAATCCATCTCCATTTCTTCCTGCCTATTTGTTTCACAATCGGTTCCTGGTTGGTTCGCTCATTGCCAGAGATCCCTGTTGCTGATCTTTTCTGGCCGGCCATCTGATCTTGAGTATTGAGTGGAGACAACTGTTAATGAAGGTCTGTAGTTTGTTTGAGATGCTCTTTATGACGCGCAGTGCAAGTCTCTGATCCGTATAGTAGCACTGACTGACTTCACATTGGAGTTGAAAATCCGGATCTTATTTTTCAAGGTGAGTGTTGTTGACCTCCACACAGACTTGAGAGTAATGAAGGCTTGTCTTTATTTCCTGATCCTTGCTTTGATATCCTTGTCAGTTCCGCCTGTAGTTGAAACGATGCTTCCCAGGTAGGTAAAAGAGGTTGTTTCTTTCAAGTTCCTTCCATTGTTGCTGATTGTTGTCTGTTGTTGTTGTTCTTGTTCAGGAATCTTCATCACCTCAGCTCGAAACAAGCTGAGGTTGAGGGAAATTATCTCGGTGATTGGGCTCAATAATACACCGGATTATGTTTGAGGATGTGAACAGGAAACTAAACGGGGCTTCTGAGTTTTTGGTTTTAGAGAATAAACCAGACTAAATGTATTTCATCGTTTGTTATTTGTTTATATAAACATAAGGGTGATACAATATGGGCACCCAGAGATGCACTACCCAAAGAGGGACTTTTTTGAAGTTTTATCCCTTTGCCTTCCAATTGGATCATAGGGCTTCAAGCTTGAGCTATGAAGTCTCAGTAGCTATGGTGTTGCTTTACTGGCTGAGGTTCCTTGCCTCATGCCCAGGCTTTCGTTTTTAACAGGCTTAGTACCGGGTTTTTATCAACCTCATTCAACAGCTATAACACAATGTCACCTATCAGGTGATTCACACCGGAAAACTTAGCCGAGGTCTTTAAGGTTAACGCAGGAGTAAGACAAGACTGCGTACTACCACCAATGCTATTCCTAATTGTAATGAACTGGATTATGTGGTACACCGTGCGTGGGCAGCGAGAAGGGAGGAATACATTGTTCTGGTAAGGAGACTCTAGAGGATCTGGATTTCGCAGACGATTTATGCCTCATGTCACACAAATCCAATCAGACTTACAGGCGGAAACCAACAAACTAGCTAAGGAGGCTGGCAGCCAGTGAACATAGAGGTGGGGAAAGCAGCCAACTAACCAACAACAAGCACCAGTCACTATCGCTAGGAGAAATTTGAAAGGAGTTTCTTTCTTCATCTATCTAGGCAGCATCATTTCAACTAAACGCGAAATGGATGAAAATTCCAAGGGCAGAATCGGAAAGGCAAGATACACCATCACTTTGAAAATATTGTGAATTCAGCATAAAGAACAAAACTCGGATTTTCAACATCAATTTTACGTCATTTCTTGTCTATGGATGTGAAACTTGGCGCGTGAATCACGCGAAAACATTCCCAACAGTTACCTTCGCCAGCTCCATATTGAAGATCAAATGGCCAGAAAGAATTAACAGCAAGAAACTTTGAGAACGATCCAGTCAAGAACCTATTGCTCAACAAATATGGAGATGGATTAAACACACGTTGAGGAGGCCGTTGAATGACATCGAACAGCAGGCGGTTGCTCGAGTGCATACCAAATGGGGAACAATGAGCGAAGCGTCCGAAGTTGACATAGGGGAGACCGTTCGAGGAGGAGATGAGAGACTATGCTCAATGGTGGGGTCAGCCAAAGAGGACTACTGGAAACAGGAACAAATGGAGATGTTCTGTAGAAGCCCTATATTCAACTCGGAACAATAATAATAATAATGTAGTTTAAAAGAATTAACGTACCACTTTCCTCGCTAATACCAAGCTGTGCTGGTCGCTTGGACGAGCTGAAGTAACTTGTCTTTGTTGCTAGGTGCAAATTCTGCTTTCACTACACACATACACGTAATCTGAATGAATATCAAGTTTTACTGCCCACACACACACAAACACCAATTGATATTATGCTTTACGCAGCCTTACGCAGACCACATTTTTGTTGTCTGTACACTCACAATTACCTAGAACGGACTTTTCACATGTGCTAGGCTAACAGCCACACCTATTGTGTGTGTGCGTGTGTATGTGTAGTAGTTTATGATACACTGCCCAATATAGTTGTCCAAGCTGAAGTAGGTGGGATGGGACTCGAACACCTGATCTATCATCTGTTACCAAGTGCTCAAACAAATAATCATGTTGTACTCTCTGCTACTGAAACTTCAAAACTGTAACTTGTAGCCCTATGTTCCACTGGGAACGTAAAGGAATAAAAAAAAAAACGATCTGTCCGTTGTATTAGTTACAACATGATGACTTGGTGCTAATTTGAATTCTACAAGTGTCTACATTTCTAATCAGCAACTATGTTTACTAGAGTACATTATATTATTAAGTCTGGATACAATCTTTTTTCTAATTTGGTCATTTTCTGATGATAACTTCTTGGTAGAGGTTGCTGAAATATTCGTTCATTGCAAACACTGCGTTCCATACTGTTCAGATTTGTGAAATGTGTGAGGTATCAGTGTCTGCCCTCTCTCTTTCCTCTTTCTCTCCTACTGCCCCAAAGTGAATGCTTTTTTGTCAGACATTAGCCAGCCAGTGGTCCAAGCTTAGTGGTCTTACGTTTAATCCCTCCACATGTGAACTTCACCTTCAGGCATAAACGTGATCTACACAAGCTTGTTCGTTCACATAAGATGCTTGTAGTGTAGAGGTCAGTGGAATGAAAACTAAGTGAAGCATAGAATACCTTGGAAAATAGTTCTTCCCTCTGACCTTTCTTGGTCATCTCATATCTTGTCGATCTCTAAGAAAATGTTCCGTCTTACCTTGTACATTAAGAAGTTAACGCAGACAGGTATCACTCAACCCCTACTTTTACCACTTTCTAGCTCTTGCATCTTACCTATTCTTCTTTACTGATCTCCACCCTTATTCTTTCCTGGGCTACTCATAAAGGACTATCTCGTAGTATGAAGGGTATTCAAGGCAGTCAGTAGGGCGACTGGTGTGCCTGCACTAAGTTAGCTCGTTACCACTATTCTTGACAGACATCTGAACGACTCGTGTGAGAAATAGTCTAAATCCATATTGTCTGACTCTCATCACCCCTTCTCTTCATAGCTCTCCCCGCCGCTTGCATCTCATCAGGCTGGACAAGAATCCATTATAGAAGAGTATATAGTCGCTCGTACAACTAAGTACAGAAACTCATCGACACTCTAATTAATAGGCCCTCACGTGTTCCATGTGATGATAGAGAAAGTGTTAAGCGTGAGACTTAACACACTTACTATGCAATTAGCAAAATAAATCGCTCTGTGACCTCTTATTTGTAACTTATGGTGACACTGTTTCTAATATCTTATAGTCTTAGTTATTATTAATGTTATTGTTATCATTTTATACTTTTTGTACACTTTTGACTTTGTTGTTACTGCTAATGCCGAAAAGGTTGCTATTATCAATTATGTTTACCTATACCTTATATATATATATATATATATATATATATATATATATATATATATATATATATATATATATATATATAGCTATACCTGCCTACAAACGAGTAAAACTAACAATTACATGCGAGAGATCAATCTGACAATATATTGTGTAGGCAAAGTACCCTAGCTGAAATGTTGTCAATTAAGGGGATTAATCCGTGAACATGGTTAACTCTCTTAAGCATATAATATATCGTATGAGTATTTTTCGTCCGTTTTTTTTCACGTAACTATATACTACTGATTGACTGAGATGAGTAGTCGCATACTACTTATATCAACCGGCAGTACTTACTAGCCGGCTAGATCGAAGTGATCTAAACACGGGACGGCCGTTTCTCTCGTTCGAGGCCGAGCTCATCAGCGGTGTACCTGGTTTGACTAAGTTTAGAGAGCCGAATCAGCTCAAGCCACTCTTTGACTGAACTGACTGGTTCGAGTCACCACGATTCATTGAGCGCACAAAGCCAGAGAAGAAAGTAAAAAGAGACGCAAAATGAGGACAGTAAATAGAGATGTGAAGCAGACAGAATAGTAATATCGAAGAACAATATAGTTTCATTGGAAATGATAAGTCAAAAGGAGTGGATGCATCTGTGCCAACCATTGAGAACGATTTTGAGCTATATCAGGAGTTGTCTCCAGCCATTGTTTTTACCATCCCGAAGACCCCAACCAAGAAGTCTACACCTTCCTACGTGGCTGGCTTAAGCTAACTGTTGTGGATTTCATTGACTGAAGCCATGTTTTGATTTGACTACCACTAGCTAGCTCCTTTCCAACCTGATCCATGCTATGTCAGTTAACATTTCCTGTCGAGGAAGGCGATGGCTAGGGATGCATGCGTAACACATGTCCTAACCATCTCAAATGGTGTAACGTCACAACTCGTCGATTGATTTCCCCTCCTTACGTAGCACTCGATGTCTAACCTCAATATTGCTTACCCTATTATGACATTTAACACGGGAGATAGAACGCAGGCACCTATGATCAAAGATAGCTAGTCAACCTCTGTTTGCCACCTTCATTTGCCATGAAACAGATGAGAGCGAACTGCTGAGCAGTACTCACCCCGTTTTGTCGACAGCCGGGTATTACGTCTACGCCAGAGGCGGCGTGAACTGCCATATGAGAAACTAGCCTTCTGTATCCGTGCTAAGATTTCATCAGCGACTAACCCACTGGGACTGGTTGATGTAAGTGCCCAAATAAATGGGTTGATCAACACACTCTACCACTTCGCTCCCTATTTCTAATCTAGGAGTCAATGTAGTCCAGGAAGTCTTGTTGCTTCATCTCACATTTGACGCGAGAATCTCATGCCAAACATATTCACATTGCTGCCTCTCAAGGTGTTCAGAAGACACTGTCTGCATTTTGTCAACGTTTTCACTTGCGAGGGAGGACTATATCATCTGCATATTTTAAGTCAACGAGATTACACCCTGGTAACAAGTCAATCTCTGAGTCGCTGAAGTCAGCTAAAGTTACGTCCATTAGTACTTTTATGATGAAATTAAAGAGAAATGGAGACAGTGGATATCCCTGACGGACAACTCTCGTTGTCATCACAGTTGTCAGATGACAACTCCCCGTAGACTCTCACCTGGCTGACTGCATGAGTTCTAGTAAAGTGAGTGCCTTGATCAGTGAGTTGTGTCTTCTCAGGATTCCCTTCACAGCCAAACATCTCTGTAGCACCTCTCGGTCAACGGATTCGAATGTCGCTTTCATGTCAAGAAATATGACGATTGTTTGTTGACGCTGGTAAGTATATCTGTGTTTCAGAATCTTTTGAAGTGTGAAGATATGATGGGTACACCGTCTTCCTGGTCTAAAGCCTGCGTGGTTCTCTCGTGTTTGTTCCTCCTGAGTACCGCTTAGTCTACGCATGATGGTTATTGAGCCTAGAAGTTTAGATGGCATATTGGTCAAGCTAATCCCCCCTACTATTATCACAGGAAGACTTGTATCCCTTCTTGTATACTGCGATAATCAGTGACTTACACCAGCCTGACGGGACTTCGTCTGATTCTCAGACGCTGCCTAGTACCTTAGTTAACGCAGCTAGTCAACTATCCCCATCGTCCTTGAGCACCCTTGGATTAATTCCACCAGGTCCCGCTGCTTTGCCTCGTTTCAGACTAGTAACAGCCTTATTAACCTCAGTTATGGACGGAGGACGTGTTTGTTTGTATCCCATTCTGGGTGCGGGTGTTGGATACTGGGTAAGTTGAGGATGGCAGTAGCCAACTAAACTGCTCCTAAAAGCCACCCATTGAACTGTTTAGCTTTATAGCTGGTGGCTTTTTTCGCATCGAAGGTATGATTATTCTTTAATTTACATTGCCTGTGATGCAGGCCAATATTATATAAACGCATTTTTTTATATCAAAATTTTCAAGCATTTTCCAACATAATCCTTTTTTATCTTCAGTTATGAATTACCCTTTGATCGTCATGATTGGGTGGTGGATCGTTGTGGAAAGGAGGTGCGTTATGTGATTGATTATTATGATGGAGGTTCTGTGGATGAAACATACCAGTTTGCCATATTAGATGTAAGACCTGCGCTGGATTCGTTCAGTGCATTATGGGATCGTACTCGAGTTGCTTGGATGCGTTTCAAATCTCCTGATCCGCCTGCAAAACCAGTGCCACATGATCCAACATTCCCGAAGAAGGAAACAGCGTCATGACGGACCACTGTTACTGCTGCTGCTACTACTACTACTACATAAATGAAGCCTGCTCATCCCCCACACCCACACCCGCCACATCAACGTTGCTCTTACGTTTTTGGCGTATCGTATATTTTCAGAAGTGCATAGTTTAGTTCGTATGTCAGAATTAACCTTGTAATAAAACATTAGAAGTAAATCATCCTGTACATTTATTAATAAGAAGAGATAAATTTATGTTAACACTACTGAGTTTTTTTAATTCTGGAGGGGAGATTAGTTCGTATTGGCAAATGCTGAAGAAGCTCGGGAATTGGAATCATCTCTGACCTGTCATCACTTTTCATGCATGAAAATAATGGCGATCATTCACTCCACTTTCATGACTGTTCGTGCTAATGCGCATACATTCACGTGTGAAGGAAAGTATTGTGTGTGTGTGTGTGTAACGTAAAGGATTTGTGTGCTAACAGGTTTCGTTGTAAAATTCATTAGATATTTCTAGGGCGTTTCGCTTTCTCACAACGAAAGAGATCAAAAAAGAGGAAATCTGTTGAGCATTCTTTATTTACTTTGTGGCATGAGCATGACTGAGTAACAAGCATCGAGCGTAAGTTAGCATGGATCTGTAGACGTAGACAGACAGTCCCTGTTTTTGTTTCTCTTTCTTGAGCTAGAAAGTCATCCAGTTGATTTTCAGGTATTTGAAGTCTCAGTGGTATTTTCGCGGCTTGATCTCTTCAATGTGATATTTAGTAGGCATGTTGCAGATGGGTGGAAGCGGCTAAGATGGAAATCGGCAATTTTTAAAGTCAATGATTACTTGCAGATATAGAGGTGTTTATTCTTGAAATGTGGATTTAGTTTACGTTGTGTGATCAGGAAGTAGTTTTGTGGTGAGAGCAAGCTGCTAGCCAATTGGTAGACATTGATCTACGCTGATTGGTGGAAATTAATCTAGGCTGATTCAACAACCGATCACAGCTGACCTAGACGTGGACAAATATGATTCGCAGACAAGTGGCTCGCATTTTTA